CGGCGGAAAGCAGCGCCGGAGCCGGAGGCAGCCGCACGCGGAGCGGAGCGCGGAGCCCGGCGGCGCCCCGGGTCCCCGCCGCGCCCCTGGGACTGTGTAGCGCCCGCGCGCGCGGCACAGGCGAGGACCGGACTCTGTTGACTCTCGCGGCGTCCGGGGCGCCGGGCGACTCTCGGCATTTTCGGACTCAACTCGTGGCTCGGAACGGCCCCGCTCCGAGCGCGGCCGGCGGCTTGTCGGACCCCAGCCCTGGCCGCGGCCGCCGCGCGCGCCCTCGGTAGACTCGGCGGGGCGAGGGCGCGGGCCGGCCTCGGGGCTCTGCGTGTGCGCCGCGGGCGGGCCGAGGGCTGACTGGAGGGGGGTCCCCGGAGGGCCGGTTCGGGATCTGTTGCGACCAGCATGGAGGAGAATGACCCTAAGCCCAGCGAAGCGGCGGCGGAGGGGCAGCGGCAGGCGGGCTCCAGCCCCGGCGGCGGCCCGGGCGACGCGGACACTGGCCGCCGGCGGGCTCTGATGCTGCCCGCGGTCCTGCAGGCGCCGGGCAACCACCAGCACCCGCACCGCATCACCAACTTCTTCATCGACAACATCCTGCGGCCGGAGTTCGGCCGGAGAAAGGACGCGGGGACGTGCTGCGGCGGCGGCGAAGGCGGCGCGGGCGGCGCGGAGGGAGGCGGCGCCGAGCAGCCCCCGGGGCCGGGCCGGGAGCCCCGGCAGAGCGCGCCGGGTGCGCCGAGCGCCGGCGGACCGCTGCCCGGCGGCGGCGGCGACTCTGCGGGCGAAGGGGAAGGCGGCTCCAAGGCGCTCTCTCTGCACAGCGGCGCTAAGAAAGGCGGCGACCCCGGGGGTTCCCTGGACGGGGCGCTCAAGGCCCGCGGCTTGGGCGGCGGCGACCTGTCGCTGAGCTCGGACTCGGACAGTTCGCAGGCCGGCGCCAACCTGGGCACGCAGCCCATGCTCTGGCCGGCCTGGGTCTACTGCACGCGCTACTCGGACCGGCCTTCTTCAGGTGAGCCCGCGGGGACCCCGCACCCCGGCCTGCTGCGGGGAGGCCCGCGGGGCTGCAGGGTGGCGCTGGCGTGGGGACTTGCCGGGAGGGCGACACCAGGATCCCCCACACACACACACTCACACAAAGACGCACACATAGCGACATTGTGTGCGGCTGACGCCGGTCGGGCTGCAGGTTGGAGGCCAGGGGGACGGATGGAGTCGCCGGGGGTACGGACTTCTTCCCACAGCAGAAGCAGGAAGACCTCCCCTCTCTGCGCAGCCCCAGCCCCCCACCCCTGGCTGGAGTTTATTTGGTAGGACCAGGGTGGGTGGAAGACAGGCCCGGAAGCTCGCCGCTCAACCCCTTTTTCGTTCCTTTCGACTCAGTCTAGACCCGGGACCCACGCCCAGCTCACCCGCAGACCTAGGTCCCCCGCGCGACCCAGAAATCCCAGATGCAGCCCGCGAAGAAAGCAAGGCTGCCGCTCTTTCTCGGCCCCTCGGCCTGTGCTGCCCAGGGCGAGTCGGGGGATCCGGAGCGGGAGGGCGGAAAACAGGCGCCCTCTGCCCTCTGCCCGGTTTTATTTGCCGATCCCACAGCGTGGAGCGTATCACCCATCTTGCACACAGCTTGGAGGAGGGGGGCGGGCTGCAATCCTCCCAGATCGAAGGGACCTTCTCCCAGAGCTTCCCCGGGGCTGCTCCCTGGTAGGAACGGAGCAGGCTTCGGAGGAGGGTTGTGCAGAGGCGCTGCGTGTATTTCCCATAGGTCTGAGATGTTAAAAAACTGAGCCCAAGTCCTTGTAGAAACAGCCAGCCACATTAAAAGCAGGTCTGCAACTGCGAACGGCCATTAGGAGCGGACTCCATTTGTCCCCAAGCCGGCAGCGCAGACCTGATCCCCCTGCCCCGGAACTCTCAACTGTTTTGCGGGGGTCGTTTACCCAGATCGTGGCACAACTGAGTCACTCCTTGGCTGCTTTCCCGCAGAAATGTGTGTATGTCTATCTCTGATGAAACCCAAATTTCTCCAGCTAGAGCTGAAATTTGCTCCATTGTTCTCGCCTCCCTCCTTTGTTAATATTTAATTAACATATAGGCTCACAATGGGGCCGGCTTTGTGCGCTGGAGTCGCAGCCCGCCAGACCCCAGTGGCCCGCAGGAGCCGGGCAGCCCGGCCTGGCCAGAGTCGCTGGTCTTAAGTCTTAAGAAAAAGAAAGAAAGAAAAGAAAACCTGTAAGATCACGTTTATGTTTCTTATCGTTTAAGAAAAAAGCAACGCAGAGTTTTCTTGCCGAGGTTTGGTTCTGTTTGAGACTCCTAAGTGTTTGCGCTTTGAAAGAAAATCCAGGAAGAGAGGGAACTAAAAATTCTGCTTTTCGGGGGATTTTTCTTTCTGTAAAATGGTGTGTGTGTTTTGCGGGCTGGTTCGTGTGTTCAAGAGCCCCAGGAGGACAGGAGTTTGGGGGGTAAGGCACCCTTCTCTGGGGGGTGGGGGGGGGCGAGGGAATGGAGATGGAGAACGGCTCCTGGAGCACGAGGCTGCGGTCGGTTCAGCAGGTGCGGGGCCATCCGGGCCCTTCGGGGCCTCACAGAGCCACCTCCTGTCCCCTTTGCGCCCCCAGGAGCAGGGCCCACCTCCGGGAATCCGCAACCTCGATCAAGGCCAGGCCCGCGGCGCGGAGCCCGCGTCGCTGGCATGTGCGTGATGATGGCTGGGAGTGTGCGCGTGGGGGCGCGGCGGGAGTGTGGGTGTGCTTTAGACTCGAAGAGGCCGGGACTTGGAGCCCAGCGGCCCTGGGCGCCCCCTCTCCGTCTCCCTCAACCCCTCTTGGGGAGTTTGCCTCCTCTGAGAGGGTGGTGCATGGCTTGCTCGGTGGGCGGGGAGGAAGTTCTCAGCGCCCACTGGGTCTCGGAACGGTCCCAGACCCCTCGCTTGGCGCGGCCTTGGAGCGCTCTTCCCCCTCCGGTCCGGTGGGGGTGCAGCCCGGTCATGCTCGGATGGGATGTGGCAGCCGCTCAGGGTGGCAGGGCAGTCCTCCAGCCCTGCAGGGTGGGCTGGGAGCGCAGGGCCGAGACCTGGGGTTCTGGCTGTATTTGGTCTAGCCGTCTCCAGCCTCCAGCCGCAGGCAGCTCCTTGGAACTCGAGGCTAGAAGCTCCCCAAAGTTGATTCACACACTTAACAGACCCAAACACAGTCTCACTCCCTCCCCAGCCGCCTCTGCGGCCTCCTCCCTTAGAGACCGGGGAGTGTGGAGGGCTGAGCTTCTTAACATAACAAAAAGAAAATGTTTGGCTCCCCTCTCTCAGGCCTTTTCCGATGGTCGGGTCCTAGGAGCCTTTCCACTGCTGTTGGGAACCTACCTCAAGTACTGTGAAGTGTCCCAGCGGGAGGAGGCCTGGGTGGGGGTCAGAAGAGTGAACCTTCTGCCCAAGGTCAGCTGCACCCCTCTCCCAAGCTGGGAGCGGTCCCCTCTCCCATGCTGGGGAACTGAGGACACTTGGGGGTGTGTGTGAAAGGGACACAGAGTGACAGTGCTGCCTCCCCACCCAGGAAAGGATGTGTGTGTGTGTGTGTGTGTGTGTGTGTGTGTGTGCACGCTCCAGTCCTTAAAGGACACAATGAACTTGGGCCCACAGGGCCAGTGGGGGAGGCAGAAAGGGGACTCAGGTGGAGGCAGACCTCTGAGCCCCTCCTGTTCTCAGGACCCGCCTGCAGCCTGGCTCCCGCAACCCGGGCACCCTCTGGGGTGTCCCCTGTGGGGGTCCTGTGGCAGCCCCTTTACAGCTCCCAGGGCTGCTCCTGCTACTCTGCCTGTCCCCGTTGTTCCCCATCACCTTCTCAACCAGCACCTACCTACTCTGCCCTTATTCCTGGACGGAACCCCAGAAAGGGCTCTGGAAAGCCCTGCCAGAAAGTTAGGGGGCTTTGCTTTCCTTTCCTCAGGAGACCTTTCCAGGAAGCCTGTCCTGTACTCCCACTGCCCTCCCTCAGCCAGACTTAGCTGGTCCATCGCCTCTGTCCCCCAGGGCTGCGTGGCGCAGGTGGTGGGAGCCGGAGCCCAGTCCCAGCCCGGCTGTCCTTCCAGGTCAGCCCCCTGCCTTGGGCAGCGCGTCCATCCCGCGCCCGCGGGGCGACCCAGCTCTGAGTCGGCAGGCAGGCCTGCGGCCTCCTAACCGGTGTTCTCTCTGTCCACCATGCCCCCCCAGGCCCCAGGTCCCGCAAACCAAAGAAGAAGAACCCCAACAAGGAGGACAAGCGGCCGCGGACGGCCTTCACGGCGGAGCAGCTGCAGAGGCTCAAGGCCGAGTTCCAGACCAACAGGTACCTGACCGAGCAGCGGCGCCAGAGCCTGGCGCAGGAGCTCAGCCTCAACGAGTCGCAGATCAAGATCTGGTTTCAGAACAAGCGCGCCAAGATCAAGAAGGCCACGGGCAACAAGAACACGCTGGCCGTGCACCTCATGGCCCAGGGCCTGTACAACCACTCCACCGCCGCCAAGGACGGCAAGTCGGACAGCGAGTAGGCCCGCGCGCCAGCGGGCCGGCGCCGGGACCTGTGCGCGCTCAACAATGCAATAATTTAAAACCGTGAATAAAGGGCCAGTGTATAAAGATGATACCAGCATTTATAGTGAAAAGCTCGTGTATTAGCGATGGTTCTGCAATATTCTATGTGTATATAATTTACAGGCGGTGTAAAATCCAAAATATCTGACTATAAAATATTTTTTTGATTTTTGTGTGTGTGTTTATGAGATTATGCTAATTTTATGATTTTTTTTTTGCAAAGGGGGCTGCTTAGGGTGTCACCTTTTTTAATCCCCTAAGCTCCATTATGGGACATTGGACACTTTTTTTTTTAATTTCAAAAGAAGAAAAAAATTAAAACAACTTGCTGAAGTCCAAAGATTTTTATTGCTGCATTTCACACGACTGTGAACCGAATAAAAAGCTCCTACTTGGTCTATGAGTTCTGCCACTTTGTTTGTGTGGGCTTGGCGAGGCCGGCAGGAGGGGCCGCACCCCAGCCTCGGCCAGGGCCGCGTCAGGACCCTGGCGGGAGACCGGACTGTGGGAGTCCTCCCCGGAGTGCGGGGGCCTCGGCCGTGGGACCTGTGCTGGGCAGTGGACCCCGATGGCCCTTGGCCTCGCCCGCTGGGCTCTTCCCCTCCTGCTTTTTCTCCCTGTCCATCTTCCTCCTTGCCAGGCCGGGCCTGCGCCTCCGTGCGTGCGTGCTTCCGTCTGCGTCTGTGTCACTGTCCCCTGTCCAGCTACCCGCCACCAGGGCCAACTCTCCCGCCTCCGGGCACTGGGGCTCCCCTGCCGAGGGGCCCACGAGTGGTGGGGTGATCCTTGTCCCTCCAGGCCCAGGCTCAGGGGACCTCCTGCAGCTGTACCAGCCCCCTGCAGACGCCCGCCCTGTCCAGTCCTAGAAATGGCTGAGGTCCACTGCCTCCCCTGCGGGGGCGGGCTGGCAGAGGGCTCTGAGAGAGTTGGCATTTTCTTCCTTTCCTTTTCCTTTTTCTTCTCTTCCGTTTTTTTTTTTTAACGGCCACTTCTGCTATGGAGAGCATTCTTTTAAGGTAAAGTGTGTGTGTATACAAATTATGTATGCATGCACACACACACACACACACACACACACACAGAGGCAGGCAGGCGTATATGAGCCCACAGCTCTGGAACATGTGACTACCTTGACTTTTAAAGGCACTCCGAATCCTCCCGCATCTAGAGGAAGGAAGAAAATGTGTAAATAACCATTTCTTATCACTTTTTGTCTTTTCTTGTTTTTTTTTAAATATACATTTTATTTTTTGAAGGTGTGGTACAGTGTAAATTAAATATATTCAATATATCCCGCCAAGTCCATATATATAAACAAACACATTATCTCTATATATTACTCCACACTGTCTTGTGTTTAGTGTATGGAAAAAGAGTCTTGTCCAGATGTCCATCTGCGGCCAGCACAGTCCAGGGGGTGTGCCCAGCGCCGAGGCAGCAGTCATGGCTGTCCCCCCCAGGACTGAGGACCAGCTTCTCTCTTTGCCTTAAACCTCTTTATTTCACTGCGATAATAGTTTCACTTTGTACATAACGAGTGTAAACCTTTTTAAAAAGGAAACTATAAAAACAAAAGTTGTAATTTAAAAAAATTCTGTGAATAACCATCTGCTGCTTAGGAAACTCAATGAAATGATATGCCTTTTTAGCAGAAAGCAACTTTTTTTGGCTTTTAAAGTTTTTAATTTTATTTTTAGTTTACAAAACGTGCATTTTACAGTTTCAGTATCAAATATTTATACTCTTATGAGAAATGAATGTTTCTATTTACAACTGTGGTTATCAAAATTGTGAACATTCCCCCTGCATTTTTGTGTGTTTAAATTCTTGAAAGTTACATTAAATAAAAAAAAACGCTTTACTGTAAAATATTGGCTGTCCAAGGTGGAATGTCTAGTGTTTCTGAGTGTGTTTCTGAGTCGGGTGCACTGCCCTGACACCACCACCCCACCGGGAAGGCACTGGTGGCCTTAGCCCCAGCCTAAGCCGGGGTGCACAGGTCAACCTTTGCAGCCAGAGGCACTTTTTTAAAATAATGAAGACACTTTGGATATCTCAGAACAACCAAAGTTAAGTACACATCTCTCGACCAGAAGGAAGTGTTCAAAAGTGTGGTGCTCTTCCATTGAATAAATGTTTAAACCCCTGCAGACTGCAACAGGTCTCTGTCCCTGTCGCTGCTCTTGCCCAGAGAGATGCCTGGCCCCTGGGGCGAGGAGCTCTGATGTGACTGACAGGGAGGCTCTCCTCTTTTATGTTTTGTTGTTGTTCTGACCCCCAAAGTAAAGGACGCGGACAACATTCCAGGCGGATGTGGAAACAGGACCCGCTGCCTGGCTCCCAGGGATCCCCCTCCCAGGAGGCCCATGGCATCCCTGCACGTCCAGTTGCTCTGTTTCCAAACTTGCTTGGTTTGAAAAGAAAGTTTTCTTCTCCCAGTAAAAGAAACTCAGATACTACTCAGAGGATCATCGTCAGTTCCACACAGGCTGCTCCCCAGATTTGCGAAAGACAAGTTGATGGAGAGAGCTGGGGTCTCCCGCGCTGGCTCCCGAGGCCCAGCTGCCCGCTCCTCCTCCTGGAGCGCCCCAGCGTCATCGCCAATGGGGCGCCATCAGGCAGGCCACTCCCAGCGTCTTTCCCACTGCCGCTTTTGCACAGCTCTGAAGGTTCCTAGATTAAAAACAAAACAAAAGCCCATTAGCACAACTTTTATGATCCGATTGGATTCTCTTTTTTGAAAAAAATAAAAGGACAATATAGCAACATTAAGCAATGATTTTGTTTTTTTTAAAAAAAACTGTTTGCAAATCATAACATTATTAAGGGGCAAGGTACAGTTTTGTAAGGTAATGAGTTCCCCATCCCCAGAGGCATGCAAGCAGACACTAGGCCTACAGTGGCATAGATTTTTCTTTTTTGTCTCTGGGAGAGGATTTGACTGAATGAGCCTTTAGGCCCTTAAAACTCTGAGATTCTGGTTTTGCTCCTACATTTATTACAATTTTTTTTTTAATCAACAGGGTACAATCCAAGCCCCCAACTCATGGAGAGCCCCTGCTTCACCGGCCAGTGCACTCTCACTAGGGGAGAGTGGAGACCGGAGCCAGGCCTATCGGGGAGTCCAAGCTCCTTTCTAAAACTCAGAGGCCGGCTCCATTCCACCTGGGGCCCTGGGTGCCCCGGATCTAAACGCAGACTGCAGCAAGGAAGTCGGTGGAGCCCCCAACCCACCCTGGCCAGATTGTCCAACCCGCAGGAGGCCCGTGTCCTAAAGGTTTGTCAGAGAAAAGCTCCTTTATAAAGGAAGTCCTTGCTCCTCCAGGCTGAACGGCCCTCACCCCCAGGCCTGGATGTGTCCCTGCAGCCGGGACTGAGACGAGTCCACCAACCTCCGTAGCCGGGCAGAGACTACTAGCTCGGGTTGGGAGCCGGGTCGGACAGGCCGCCCTCCCCGGGCCTGCCTGGAGCTGGTGCTCCTGCAGGATGCAGGCTGGAGAGACCCGGCAGGTGCTCAGAGGACCTCTCTCCTCCGGCTGCCAGAACGGGTCGGGTGAGTAGCGTCCCACACTCAGGCTGGAGTCAGAATCCGGGGATCAACTCTGGCGCCATGGTCGCCCAGTGTGGACCTGCCACGTGCTTTAAGAAGACAAGGAGGGACGCCAGTCTGATCGCCCAGGGGGCTCCATCTTTTTTTTTTCCCCCTTGATTGTAAAGGGCAAATCGATGGGGCTCCTAGAACGCTGGGCACAGGTGTGCCCGGCGCACAGCGCGCGCAAATACCCAGGCACTATATATGCAAATGCACCCGCGGCCGCCCCGCGCCGTCTGGGAGGCGGCGTGTGCTTGCTTCCCCGCTCGGCTAAAAGTCATTCTGTCTCCCGCTGGTTTAATAGGCTACCTTCGCGGTCTCTACCCGCTTGGCAGCTCCCCAAGCGCCCCCGGGAGTGTCCCGGCTCCGCCGAAAACTGCAGCCTGCCCGGCAGAGCGGCGCGCGCTGGGAAGTTAACAGCGACTGGCGACCCAGGGCCACGCTGCCGAAGGCCTCTGGGGAAACTTATCTGTCCCACCCCACCCGCACCCGTGTCACCCCCTGCACACAGGCTGGCAGCTCCCGCACCGGGTCTGGGGGAGGGGACCCCATTTCTGGGATCAGTCCCATTTGGGCGGAGGGCGAGGCCTTCTTCAGGCCTCGAAGCAGAGGAGGCAGGTGCGTGGGGGTTGGGGGAACCGGTAGCGTGGAGAGGGGCCTCCGCAGGCGGGACAGCGCGCGGAGCCCCCGGACCCTGGTGCTTCGGGCCGGGTCGCCCGTGGTGCCGGGCGCCGTGCGAGCCCCGTGCAGACCATTCATGATATTATTAATCTCTAATACTCCACTCTATTTATGCTTCCCACCCACAGAAAATAAAAGGCCATTCTTGAAATCGCCTGAAATGTAATAATATTCATTAAATTGGCTCCTAATTACGAGATTTAATCAAGCGTGCTCCGCCGCGCAGGGCTCGGGCTGGTGAGGCTGGCGATGACGGCCTTATTATTATTATTGTTACTGCTGGCCTCGTGCTCAGCCACCTCGGTGGGGGCCACCTCTGCAGTTCAGGCCTAGCCCTCACAGAGGAATTTGGGGATCCCCAAGATGGGAGGGGTGCCGACCCACGCCAGAGTCTTGGAGAACAGGTGTGACGCAGGCCTGCTGACCTTCGCCGACCCAGCCAGGCCGTGCAAAGGCCTGGGCAACAAATCTGGGCACAGGTAGGGTGACCCCAGACCCAGAGGACCTCCGTGCCCCTAGAGGACACCGGGGCGGGTTTTCTGAGATGGGGGAACCTTGGCTCCAGAGCCAGGGACCAGTCCCACTGGCTGTCCCGTCCCCCTTCCTGGGCTGAGCCCTGCGCTTTGCGTGCGCAGAGCAGGAACAAAGAGTGGCGAGGGCTGCCTCCCTCTCAGCCTGGAAGGCGTCCCAGAGGGCCCCCGCCGGGGCCCCTGCCCCAGCCTCCCGGAGACCCGGGAGGATGGAGGGAACCAGGGCCCAGTGGGCTGCGCAGCTCCGAGGGGTCGGCTGGGGAGCGCGGAGGGGAGGGACCCTGACACGCGGAGGTCCTCCGTGGGGCCGAGGAGCGTGCCCCGAGCGTCTGGAAGCATCGCGCGGCTGCCGCTCGTCCCCATCTGTCGAGCCGAGAAACTTGGCCGCGCGGTGCGAGCGCTCTGCCCGCGCGCGGAAGGGCAGCCTGACGCCTTTCAGCCGGCGCGTTCCGGGCTCTCTGCTCCCGCCAAGCCCTTTGTCTGCACGGGGACTGTCAGGCTCCGCCGCCCGGGCTTGCCCTCCTCCTTTCCGCGGCCCCGACCCCCTCCGCCAACTTCCCTTTCTTCCCTTCCTTTTTTCTCCTCTTTGGATGGG